GTGAAACACGGGATTATCTAGATAGAAGATAAAACCAAAAGGAATCAAGTTGCACTTTGCGCAGAGAGGGCTTTTCTTTTAATCAGGCATTTGGTTAAGATAATAGGCTTGAGACCCTAATTGATTATTACTATTTTAAGGTTTTAAGATGGCTATGTATAGTGAGATGCTGAACGTGAAAAACGCTTTACAAATGGCTTCAGTGCTAGTTTGGGGCACTTGTGTAATTTCAAAACACTGAAAAGGTATCAAAGTCTCCCAAAAAGCTGTTCTCCAAAGCCTAGTACATTGTAGTGGAAGAGAAATAACTGGATTTGGACTTTTTCATCTTCAAAGGAGTAACTTTTTCCCGATTTTCTTTAGGTGTGGATTTCAGCAAACCAGCTGTATCTCTGTTTAGAAAATACCTTGTATATTTATGGTGCAATCTAACTATTTTATAATAAAAATAATACTGTTGGATTACACAAGGAAGCCTGCTAATTAAATGACAATAATACCTTGAGTACCTTGAAAACATCTTCTGATATTCAATTAAGGAACAATAACCCCATGAACTTTAACCTATAGACCATATTCAGACTTTCTACATAAAAGTAATTGCATCAGTCATGATTTTCTCAAGCTACAACACAAGCTCTTGATTGGTAGCTCAACGTCTGAGACTCCTTTTTACAGCATTAATTGGGAAAGCAGACAATACTCTCCCTGTAAACTAGATTTTAGGACGAAGGTTAGTTCCCTTTGTACACGTTTACTCATTGAAATAGGAATGTTTGCTTAATAATTCAAAACAAATAGCATTAGACAACAAGTCCTAATCCTGATTTCTCCTCTGCCAGCGTAAATTAGGAGAAAATTAGGTGAAACTCTATTTGATCAGTGTAGAAAGACTTGTTTAAAACTTCTTTGAGATTAGAATTAGGCTCCAGCAATTCAAGCCTTTTCTTCTGCCTTCTTTACTGGGATCTAAAAAAAAGAATATGTAAATCGCATTATGAATTTTCTCCCCAATTCAAGCAGTCATCAAGTTATGGAAAGATGTTTTTCATGTGGTACTCGTTTCGATAGCATTGCATGGCATTTGTACGCCATACCAAACATGTGATTGGGTAATGGCATATTATTTATTACTTAGTATCCTGATCTGCTTTACTCAATTTGGTCTTATTAGCCTGGGGTTTTTTCCCCCTTCAGGGAAAAACGATCATCCTCGTGAGTCGAAGTGAGGTCTTGTGTAGTGAGCTAACTCCTAGCTGCACCTAGACTTGGGGTTGAAGGAGTGATTCAGCAATATATTTAAATGCCTGCTTAACTTTGTCAGCTCATCTTTATTTGGCAGGGCAAATAAGCATGTGCTTTAGTCAAGTGTGTGATTAAAATTAAGCACGTGCTCTAACTGCTTTGCTGAGTCAGGGCTTGCCTTGGCTAGCCAGGTGTCTTAATTTACATCCAGAATTTCAGTGAATGAGCTGTGTTAGTTTTTTATAAAGGGAGTAAAAATTCTCTCATGCTCATTTTGAACACCTGCTTTACTACCAAAATATAACCATCGCACAAAGCTGGGGAGATAACCCGATCATATACAGCAATTTCAATGTCCTATCTTTGGGATATTTAGCAAAAGTATCACAGTGCACGTATTTCAGTAAAGTGCCGTATGAAAAGTAAATCTTGCAAGCTTTCAGGATGTTTAATCATCTTTTCAGTAAAGGAGCTCGTTAATGCTAACATCTGCATATGTAATTACTTGACTTTACCTATTTTTTTTCTATTCAGAATTAACTGGAACAGCCAAATTGATATATTTTTGCTTTTTGACCCCTGTTAATAGGCGCAGAATGTTTAGTTCACGAGTTTTGTCAATCCTGCTATTTCCCAGTCATTCTTCTTTTACACGTCTAGCTTCTTTGTCCGGTTTCTCCCATTCTCTTGTTGCGCTGCTATCACAGCTCAGCAAAAGTTCCAGTCTTAGGCCTGGATTTTGCAATCTGAACCACCCAGGAAAACCTTTAAACTTTCATGGAGTTCTACTGAACTGTGAATTCACAGACCAACCGTGCATCGAAATGAGTTCAAGATACAACTCTAAGCCAAGGGCATTGCTTTTATGGGTATCAAGATATTATTAATGATTGGCGAGACGAGCCCCTGATTTCCTAATGTTTATAAACAAATAACAAATTGGAGAATTGTGAAATTCACCTTTCATTTGTGAAATGTTTATTTTCAGTATTGAAGGATGAAAATCCAATCACTCTCGTTGTGTGCTGTTGTTTAATGATTACTATTACATGTACAGGCATAAGAAATGTTCCTACAGAAGTAAGTGGACATTTCAAGTATACCCAGCAAAATAAGAATAAAGAAGTTAACAGGCCCAAGCTAACTTACTCAACTTTTCTCATGGCTTGCGGGACCCTGAGAGCTAGAACGTATTTAAAACCATTCTACGGCCTTTTCATTTCTGGTTTTACCTGCGTTTGCTAGGTTAAGGTAACGTGGTTAGCTGTGTGACAATCTTGTTTTTACTGGATGATTACGAAGGGCTCTAGACTTCCCTTTAAAAAATCAGCCAAACGTGCTACGGTAGCTGTGATTTGTTTTTTACTTCCATATTTAAATTTCACCTTCACTCTTAGCGCAATAGGAACCTGCCTGAGAACTGCAGGTGGAGGGGGACACCAGAGCGGAGCCGGTATGGTGCGCTGTGAAAAAACAACACGTGACAGATGTTGGTAGCATTGCTGAATGCGCTTCTGGAAGTTGCTCAGATACTGCCATGATGAGCACAGTATGAGAAGTTATACAGCATAGACTGGCTTCCCTACGAAGGGCTCTGCGGAGTAGTAAGCGTCCTGGCCCCGATCCAGCAAGGCACTTAAGCATATGCTTAATTTTAGGCACATGAGTGGTTTCAGTGAAGACCTAAGAGAATTATTTTTAATTCACAGATCATTTAATTCAATAGGCAGGTCTGCTGCAGCATATGAAAAGTAGATCTTCATATTAAAAGTACTTGGGAAATTGTCAATGAACAAACGTTGTGTACGGCCAGCAACCATTTCTAAAAAGCAGAATGATGTAGTCATTGCCTTGATTATGGTAAAATACAAAGCAGATCAGGCAAAAGCATTTACAGTTATCTGAGAGTGATTTCCAAGTTGAAAATAAGGAAAAATAAAAGCTTGTAAGAACATTTTTTCATTTGAAGTAGAGAAAAATTTATTCTCTTGATGTAAATAAAAACCTTGTTTGCAGATTGAGGAATTTGTTTGTGTTGAATTTCAGCATCAATTTCAATATTTTATAGTACATTTATCTACAGCTGGAGCATGACAGATTTGTGTATATTTATATGTTTGTGTACATAATACATATGTATACACACATACACAAGGATGCCCAAAGATATACATATACACAGTTTGAAAACTCATCATTATTGCTGAAGTATAAAAACATGCCTGATGTAGAAACTTGTCTCAAGTCTGTTAGCTTAGCGACTGCGTTCATCTGGCACCGTGGGATCCTCACAGAAACCGGGAAGTTCTTCTGTGCAGGAGCGGAATTTGCTGAGATCTTGGCTGGAGACGAACGGCTGACCTCCCTCCAGATCTCTCCCAAACCTTTCCCTGACACGTTCCCTGACATGGCACCTTCTGTGGTCCTGCACACAAGATGTATTTCTTTTACTTCCCATTCTGCAGGTAGAAACGGCAGTGTGGTAGGTTGTTTTTTTTAAACAACCCTAAAAGAAAGCCAGGAGAACAAACATGCAGCTTGCAGTAGTCCTATTGCTTTGGTCATTCAAGGAAGGTGCGCAGGTATTGCGGGGGTGAGCGGGGGGTACAGCAGAATATACCGAACGTAGGGAAATCGTACTGAATCTGACAAACAATTAACAACGGAGCAGATGGTGCCCCTGCAAAACATTCAATAATATATGTGTGCGTGCCCTGGAAATCAGTGACTCTAAGTAGGACAACCTAAAAAGGTATGCCACTTATCCTGTGGACAAGTAGGACTTTACAGTTCTTTTAATAATCTCTTTATCCTGAGATTTCTCCTTTGACCCTGATTTCAAAAGCAGGAGGTCAGTCTGGCCGACTAACTGCAAACCTCTAATTGAAGTCCAGCTATGTCCCGCGTGAACTGCTGTATCCCACTCCACACACTTACACTGGGTTGCAGCCCGAAAGCTGCTCCTTTTGTAATTGATCATACCCGTGAAAATTAAATGAACATTTGGTGGTAGGCATGTTTTCAGAGAAGAAGTAAAATACTGTTATGTAAAGTGTAATAACATTTTGATACCAAGTGTAGCAGCATTCCTTACACAAGGGAGGTGAGCGTGCAAGCGTACGCCCTGGTTCCTAAAGACGGTCCAAAGCTCAAAGTTAATACTTTTCTTATGCAGATTTATTTTTCTTTTTAAAAGCTAGTTTTAAATGTTTTTTGGGGGGGAGGAAGCATTCATTTAATTTTTTTTTAGCCAGCTGCTATTTTAAGATTTCCCTAGTGTAACCTTAGAAAAATGAAGAGTACATCTTTAAATCTTGTTCTGTTTGAATGAATGGGTAGATAATCCTGATCAGATGTTTCTTTAGAGAATAATGTTTAAAACGATTATGGAACTTAGCTGTCCTGTCTGTTTCCTAGGTACAGTATTTTCATTTTAATTGTGAAGTCATTAGGGGTCATCCAAGGTAACCGTTTATTAAAATAGTCCTCTTTTGTTTCAGATTTCCTGTTGAGATGCTTTAACATGTAAAAATCTCCCTGCTGATGTGTCATGTTAGCTTTCCTAACCTCTAGATAGAAACCACAAAGCAGCCTACATAGCTGTATGACTAGTTACCCACCTACATAAACAATAATTACTGCTAAGTGGGAAATTAGATGTCACATTTTAAGTCTAAATGAAAGTAAAGTATTTGAGAATACTGTCATTAAATGCTTAAAGCTAATCGCAGTCTCTCACTCTGTTTGTTTTGTAGGACATTTGGGCTTCCAGGACAGTTTTGTCACATCAGGTGTTTTCAGTGTGACTGAGCTAGTAAGAGTCTCACAAAGTAAGTATCATTTTGTGGCTGGTTTATGTGGTTTCTGCAATCCCAGTTTTTTTCTTTGATTCTTATCATGCCCCTTCCCCAATTCAGAAACAGCGTCTTGAAAACTGAGAGTCTCTTCGCCCCGATTCTCGCCAGTGGACAGTGTTTATGTGCCAGATCTTTTAATGTGGGAAAATAAAATAGTGTAATTTTTAAAAGTAAACAAAAAAAAATTTAATTCTGCAAGCATGCACATGCAAGTTGATAAGCTTGTCTGGTGCCCAGCTGAAAATGGGCAGACTCTGTACCAGAGTGCAGATAAATGCCTACAAATGTCAGCTTACCCGGTGGATCCCTTGCAGGATCCAAGGACTGTATTTTAACCAGACCTCTAGAAACGACATGATCTGTGCACATAGGCCTGGAAATTTTCTTGTGCCACTTTTGCATGTTGTGTTCATCCATGCCATGCGTACAAGTGTTTGTACACCTGCAAACTGATGAACTCTTTAATAATGCCAACGACTATACCAACTTCTGCTCTGATAATCTCAGTTGTGCAGAGGCATACATCTTGACTTCGCAAGGCCTGCGTTTTCCATTAACTGTATGGAATTCTGTCTTTTAGAAGGATTTGTTTTTTGACCTTTAAAGAATGCTAATGCCCCCAGCATGAATGACACACTGCAGCATGATCATTACAGGCTTGTCAATACTCAGTAACAACAGTGAATTAAGAGTACCTGTCACCACCCTATTCGGTTGATCAAAGGTGCATTGATTGTATTTTGCTATGACACAATCCAGATGGTCCAAGGAGAGAGTACGGACAGTCTCTTGCAGAGAGAGTACTGGTAAGCCAGGTCCACAGGTACTAGTCCTTAGTTGATCCTTCCTGCAGCTAGTGTTGAGCTGTGCAGTACCATCACATTCTCACTAATTACTGCTGCACCAGGTGAACCACTCAACTACATGCCCCTTTAAAGCCTTAGAACTTGTAACCAATCTCTTTAGCACAAACAGTGATAAAAATGGTTCTCCTCCTAGATAGCAGGAATATTTGTTTGTGTACTGGCTCTGAGCATGTAGTTTAAATCCTTTTGGGGCTGGAATCTAACTTGCACAAACCTAGCAGAGAATCTGTGGTCTTGAGTCAGAACACAGAGTTTCTGTAAGGATTTTCCTGTTTTATTTCCTCTGTTGGAAAGACTTGCACTAGCTAGTAAATTGGCTTTATGTTAAAAAATAGGGTGCTACAAGGAAAGCATGGCAAGTGGGAGATGGATGAACGTCAGTTACGTGCGCTGAGGAGAGAGAGACAGAGAGAGAAGAAGTTTAAGGCAGACATTTCTCCTGAGTTTTCTTCCCTGACAACTGGTGGGAATTTTGTGGGAAGGACAAAGTTAAGAGGACTTAGAAGTCAAGAGGAGCTGCTGAGTGCTCAGTACATTTGCAAATCAGTTCACTTACTGAAGTGCTTAAATAGGGACTTTGACATCTAACTCACTGTACTGCGTACACTGACTTGCTGGTACCTGCAGCCATGGTGGACAAAGCAAAGTTATCGCCAGTCTTTGAACATCTCCGTGTTATGTCACTTTATTTCAGTGTGACAGCATAAGGCTTTTGAAGCCCAAAGGATTCATCCTCCCCCTCTGCAAGGCATCCCACTTCACCACAATCTTATCTTCACTGTCGGAGCCCTACACAGCAGAACTGCCTCTGGACTCTGTCAGCCGTACTTCATGTGTGCTCAGGACAGGGCTGCTAGAAAAGTCCCCCCGTTCAGGACTTGAGCCTTCACAGCCAGCCCCAGTCCCAGCCTCTCTGAGAGTTTGGCATTGACCTCATGAGCGTCATGTTTCATGCTTATTAACTTTCCATGACATTTTATTGTAACTAGGCTAAAACATTGCGCATCAGAAATCCTAGCGTTCAGCATGCTTTGCAAACTATGAACCGTGTCTGAGATACTCCCTCTGCTTGCTGTTGAAGTGCACCACGTTCAAGGATGGGGCACCTGCATGCAAGAAGAGCAGGACAGGCATGAACTTTATCGGAAATAAGAAAGAAGGTGTTGGTGGGCAAAATAAAAAGATTCCGCTTTTATCTGTTCCAGACACAGGGGTTTGCACTCTCTTTCATGGGCTCTTTAATAATCCTGGGAGGTCAAGACCTCAGTTTTATATCCTGTCTACAAGCCAGCACCTCTACCAAAAATAGTGTCCCCAAAGCATATCGGGATATCACTTCAGAACTGACTCAGAGGGAAGAGTGCCAGCAACTGATTTAGCTACACTGCTTTTGAGAGCACCCTGGATTTTCCTTGGAGATGCCCCAGACATGTACTGACCAGCCGTAACCTTGTTTACTTTATGAGGGCTGAGAAGCCCACAGCCTGACGTATCGTGGCTACCCAGTAGGATATGTTTAGTGTAGAGTCTAGCAAAAATTCCCAGCAAAGTCAGTATTAATTCGCATGCTCATACTCAAGGAATTATTTAACGTAACAGAGCAACAAAGTAATTGCTGCATATTTGCCTAAATTGGCAGGCAAGGTCTTTTAAAGAGTGTGCTTTCCAATATGACCCTTGCTGGGTTGCGTACCTGTTCCCGTGTCTTGATTTGAGACCAGTCCGTGGGTTACTTTCATGCTGGGGAGCTCAGCTTATGAACAGCCGTCATCCAGACTCACCGGGAGCTATTAACAGTCTATAGCTTGAGTAATCAAAATGTCCTCAGTCCATTCTCTTGTTTTCACTTTCTAAAAAGTCATTGCTCCTTCAGAAGCCACGATGGCTAGGGAAGGAACAAGCCTGCCTATCCATGGTGGGCCCTCACGTTTGGTCTTTGCTCTCTTCCTGCGCGTGCTCTGTGTTTGCTTTACAAAGAGGTTCATCTTTGTGTGCGCCTATTGTCATTTTTCTTTCCATGCTTGCTTTTGATAATATGATGATAGAAATAAGTGATTTCCCACCGTTTTAACTGGCCTGTGGCTGCTGTTAATCTAAAATTAATCTTATGAAATATTGTTGGTAGCAATTATGTGCCAGGTTTATTTAGTAAAGTTCCCAGAGGTCCACATGACAAGGAGTCTCAAGTAATAGGCAGTTGTCTCCGTCATGCAAATTTGGGGAACGAATTAATCAAGCGAAAGGTCAGCTGTTACCATTATCTATCTTGCCTATCAGTGCTGATCATCACAGTTTCTGTGAGCTATTGAACAAGTCTAGACTGTTTTTGGTAACAGAAACTTGCTTTCTTCAGTCCTATTTCTTTCAGAATGCTACCCAGCTACTGAATCTTGCAGAGCCTAGTAAAATAGAGAAAGTAGATGATAAATGTTCATCTGAAAACCAGATAGACTCCTCTCCACCCCATCTGATATGGATGCTGCAGACCAGGCTGTCAGTTCTCCTACATTACTAGCAGCCAAAGGGTGCGAGCTCCTTTCTAAGTGTTGTCTGTCACCCCAGATACTGGGGAGACCCCTTCAGAAAACAGAAATTTCATTCTTCCATCTTAGAGAGGTTTGGGCTGACAACAAAAGGCTCAGAAGCAGAAGCATTGGAGATGTATGAGTTTTGTGAACTGACAGCCAGCTGTCGGCCAAGCAAAACCTTCTCCCTCTCCACCCTTGTTAGGAAAATATTATACTCGTCGTGTGCAGCTATCTGCAGGGCATTGGAGAATACCCTCTGCAAAAGGTGCCAGCAGAGGGGTGGCTGTGGTGCCAAACCACTGCCGAGGGTACAGTCCCGTTGGCTTGGCCGAGGCTGGGAGGCCGTGGCAGGCTGGAGCAGGGAGAGAGGCACGGGGAAGGCTCTTCCCCTCTTGGCTTTGCGTCTGCTCTTGTGCGGAGAGCTGCTGGGAAGATCTCCTCCCTTGGAGGTCCTTCAAGCAGCCAGATAAACTGCACTGCCCAGGATGTGAGGAAAGATTTAGGATTTATGAACATTCGCTAGAGCCAAATCAAACATATTTGTTTTGTGCTGTGTTATTTGTCAAAATGACATCATTCTTCATGCTGATAAACAAGGGAATTCTGACTGCGCCCTGGACTGAAAATGCCACCCTTTGAGTTTTAAGATGTTAGCTGTGTGCAGTAAGGAGTTGTACGGAGCAAGTGGGGTGACTTTTAATCCTTCTAATGAGTCAGTGAAACCACAAGCACACGAGTGTACATGCAGTTGCTTACTGCTCCTGTATAAACACAGAAGCGGTCCAGCTAATTATCCTTGAAACAGTTACACTAATTCCACAGGTAAGAGGTGCTTTTGTGGCCAAGGCATTTTGGAAAGCTCGGGATCGTGCAACACCAATGCTGGTGGATGCGGCAGGTGCCAGACTTGGTTAGCGGCAGCTTTAGGCAGGGGCTGAAGCTATCCTTGCCATGAGGCAGGCGGACAAGTGCTAGAAGTGAAAGTAATTGCCGCCGCGCCAGGCACGGAGCGTGGATACGACAGAGGAAACACAGCTTCCTCGTGCCTTTCATCCAGTGGCTAGGTACAGCCGAAACAAAATGCAGGGAAAATCCTGCGAACCCCAGCACGTACTGGATGCCTATGGCAAGGTGTGGGGTGCCCCAGCTCCTGTCGTGGGTCTGGGCCAGGCAGGCGGCTGCAAGGGGCAGGGAGGACGCTGCTGTCTTCTCGTAGCCCAGGAGAGGAGAAGAGGCTCTCCTCCACGCAGAGCATGTGTGCGAAAGCCGGGCTGTAATAAAACAGCGCTCTCTAAACAGCAGCCTGTATGTTTTCTGCTATACTAAGCATTACAGGAGTGAAAGTAGTTAAAGTCAGCAGCATGAAAATTAACATTTAAAAAGATACTCTATATTCCTTAGCAAAGCACTGCTATCCAAAACACACTGTGTGGGTTTGGGTATGCGAGGAAGAAAAAAAGATTATAATAAAAAATAGACTGCAGGCATAGAGTGAACAGTTGCCGTGACCTTGCCTTTTGTATGCCATTACACAATTCAATGGCAGTCCACTCAAACCTTGCTCTCGATCAATATCCTATTAAAGCAGCACAAAAAGTCTCTATAAACTTAGTGGTTAGCTATGTTTATAAATGGAACTCAGCATAATTAGATGGTCAATAGCAGGCTGTACTTGTAATTTTAAAATGAACATCACACATTTCATATCTGTTGTATTCGGCAAAACCTCTTTGAATCTAACGATACAGTGTGTATGAAACAAAGGCCTTGCAAAAAAAAAAACCACCCAGCTCCCCTTTCCTCTCGGCAGCAGCGGCGCAGTGTGTTTCCCTTTGTTTATGGAGTCACAACACAGGAAAAAGTTTATTAGTCAAATGTCATGTTTCTCCCATTTAACCTTAAACACATTATCACTTTGCTGCAGCGTTACACATGTAATGATCTTAGTCACATCCCAACCCCTTTGTGAAAATAAATACATAAAAATGGGGTAAAGAGAAACTAAATATTAACATGACTAAAAGAGAGTGCCGTATTCCAGGGAAGACAAATGCCAGCCTGGCTGGTTTTATTTAGTGGGTTTCCTGTTCTGTAATTTAATAAATTTTTCAAAATAAATATTCCAATTGGGTTAAGTCAGAGGGCTTTTTGTTAATTTCTCTGTTATTTTTCTTGACGTTTCGGGAGAAGATCTGAGCTAACAAGCTGGCAGCGGAGGGAGCAGGCTGGCAGCAGGGGCAGTGCTGCCCCACGGCCCCGGGAGTAGCACAGTGCTGGTGCTCAGGCAGAGGCACCCACCTTCCTCCTCCTCCTGCTTTGGGACAAAATAGCTTCTCCTGCCTCTCGGAGCCAGCGAAAGGTGCCCCATCTGCACAGGGATTTTTTTTTGTGATGCCAGCAGCTGAAATGGGAACTGAGGCCAGCAGCAGTTTGTTTGCTTAGAAAGCTTGCGCACATCAGCCAGCTTGGTGTCAGGGGAAGAGGGGTCCTTCCTCCTCACCCCCCGCCAGGTCGGAGCCCTGGGTTAGATCACATCTTGATGCCAGCACGTAGGTGGAGACTACTGTTTTGAGTCGCAACTGCAGTTTCTGACATCCTTTCCTGTTTGGGAGATGTTCCTGAGTTATCAGAAGGTCACTTTACTGCAGAGGACTTCTTGGGGGTTGGGGAATGATGTGTTTTTAGTGTCGTTGCCCGGAGTTTCTGCGGGCTGCAGCATGTAACAGCTGGCTGTGCTGGAGCGGAGCTTCCCAACCACGCTGCTGCTGCGTGTGGGGCCAGAGTGTATTCCCGGGGCATAGGAACAGGGGTGTAGGGAGGTTGCATGGTGGATTGTCAGATGCTACAATGCAGAGGCTTAATTTAGACAGAGTTTTGCCGCAGTTTGCACCACTTTGTTCCCTTTGCTTACTCTCCAGAACTGCAACATTTGCAGGGAATCCTGCAAATAAATGCAAGTGTTCCCTTCCCATCAGCTTTCTGGGCCTGCGCGAGGTGGGCAATCCACAAAGGCAGTGTGAAAAGCCATTTGGAGCAGGCTCGGATGTCTCCTGGCTGGGCAACCTGCACCATGCCCACTCTCGTGGCACGTTGCACCGCAAAACACACGGGTGACTTAGGGGAGGCCAATGCCAGGCAGCGAGCTCCCCGCAGCTGCAGCCCGGCGCAGGAGGTACAAGGTGTGGCTCAGCCCCGCCGCGGCTGAAGCAGAGACAGAAAGCACACACGGCTTCAACCAAATTCCAGCCGGGAAGAGGAAGCGACCTTCCGCCATGCGGATGAAAAACATTAACCTTTTCCTGACGGTCTCAGGGTGGGCTCTACACATCGGCACGTTGCTGTGTTTTATGCTAGTAAATGGGGTAACTGCGAGCAAAGGTACAAATACTCTTTGCTGAAAGAGAGACACCGAATATGTGCCTGTCAGGCAGGCAGGAGAAAGGATTTCAGAACAGCTTAGCCCTGTGCAACGTTTGCCACAGCACTTTTAGGGCCGGAGACCTCGAGCTGGTTGTGGCAGGACCGCGGCTCCTGTGTAAGGACTGCCAAGGGGTTTTAGGTACTCGCTGCCGTAGGCCAGCCAGGCACTTCAACCTCTGCTGCTGAGATCTGTTGGTGTATGTTAGAGGTTGGGTTTGTTCTTTAACCCTCGGATTGCAAACAGGCTCTTGAATGTGGCAAGGTGGTTTGGCCTGTGACAAAGCAAGCATCCTTCATGTTTGCTACCCAGGCGGAAATTACTGTGTGATTAGCCCTTTCTACTTTGTGCTGAGTTTACACAGCGTTAGCAATACGTTGTTCCTACCCCACCCCTGCTCTGCACCCCTGCTCTGGAGGTACATTTCATTTTCCTATAGGGCCAATTCAAGGGTTGGAACAGAAATGTCCAGGATCTGGGGAAAGAGCAATAAAGAGAGGGAGGTGAGAGGAAGAAGTGAAGCTTTATCCACGTGCCAGTTTTTCTTCTATATCTGTTTGGAATAAAACTGTTTCATAAATCTTGCGATGCCTAGGAAATTCATCGTGCCTCAGAAAGAAACAGTCCTTTAATTTAGTGCTTGCCTTTTTATGTTCCTGTTTGGAAAATAGCATGCTTAACCTGTAAGTTAGGCGTTGGTAGGTGTAGGGTGCAGAGGAATTGATCAGCAAAGGGTTTACAGAGCACAAATGTGTTTGGCAAGGAAGTTGCTGAAAACTGTGGAGTAGATGCTGCAGAGAGTACCTTTATGATTGATTTCCATTCAAGTCAGACTGACTGCAGTGTGGTCATTTTTCTAACCCATAACTGCTCACACTGCAGCAGTCTGCTATCTGCAGGGTATCTGAATTATAGCAGTCCATGTCCGTGTTACCTTTTACACAAATTACTTACACCGGTTTCTTTTTCCATGCAAATTCATCAGTTTTACAGCCTCTTGTAGCTGCTGTCAGGAAACTGTTGCAGAAAGCACAAAATGATAAAACGAGTTAATTTTACTATGCTTAATTTTTCTTTCTTTCTGTTAACACACCCTCTCGCATACCCAGTGTGCAGGAAGCGTATGATAGTTAAGAGAAGATAACAAAGGATTTGAGTGTTCTTGTCATAAATTACTTCCCAACTTCATTCCTTTTAATGATCATTCCAGATTTTCTCAAGTTTTAATGGCATTGTCTATTTTCCGACCCATGCTTTTTTAAAAGTCCATGGCTATCCAGGCTGTTCCCTTTCTGTCTCAATGACGTTCTTAAAAGATACTTGCCAAACAACAACTTAATTGTCTTGTGGGGATGATGAGGCAGCTGCAAAGCTACATTATTGCTCTGTCAAATCTGACGTCGTGAGCTCCTTAAGTCTTGGGGTGAAATACTGGCCCCATTACAGTCAATGGCAGCACTCCCAGAAGCCTGCGTTTCAGCCCAGACATGTTAGCTGGGTGATAGGAGCTATCCTGCCTTCATTTCCTCACTCCTGCCCCGTCGGACTGAAAGATTTTTTCATGTTTGAAAATGGGCCAGATTCTCAGACCAAAGATAAAACTTGGCTCAGCATCCTTGTGTGGCATTGAGACTGCTTCGCGTTTGTTGCTATGAATCGGGGCTCTCGGACAATACGTTCCAGGCCAAGCTTGTGCATGTTATTGTGCAGTACATCCTTTTTCAGATGTCTCGGAAGTGTGAGAGAAAATCATGATCTGTAATTGTCATCCCTCAAAGTTGTATTGTCCTGTAAATAGCACTGGAACAGCGACAGTGGATATGGTACCGTTTGCTGTACAGTGGCATTTCTTCGTGAAATGCATTAGCTGTTGACTTTAACATTAAACCGCTCTGTTCCTTTTCTGTTCCCAGAAAAATACGGTACGTGGAGTTCATAGGCTTGCCGACTTCAGGGTGTGTAGGAATTCATTATGTTTTAATGTAAAACCAAGGCTCTAGGACATGGAAATTAAAGGTATTCATCTCCCTTACAGTAAAACTTAGGTTCTGGATAAGGTAATGGGAGGTGAACAGTGGGAGCTAACTGCTGGATAAAAGTTTTTGAGAGTCATATGTCTCTAGCTCTGATTTAGCTGGAGGAGAGGCCGGAGGAAAACTCAGATGTTCGCAGGCAGAAAAGAACTCAGGTTTCTCATCTGCTTTTCTGCTTTCTCCAAGGAGCATTTGTAACCTCTGTGCTTGTGTATGTACATCACGTATATACGAAAGGTCCTGAGGTGTGTATTTCCCTGCCTATAATGCTTATAGATTATGCCAAGCACACTACAGGGATGATGCAGCCTATTTGTAACTATGCCAATAGATGCAATGTTGTCCTAAAAGGAAAAGCAACACATTTCATTAAATGTTAGAATGATATTAATAGAAAAGCAGTGCTTAAAGAAAGTCTTGCCGTAATTGTTTCATTTTTAAAAAAAAAAGAATACCTTTGGAGGAATGTAAGAAAGAGTCTGTGTCATGGAACATTGTATTCTTGATAAAATTTATATCTTCTTGATTGCAATGCCAGTTACCATTAACATTTCCTAATTTCCACGTCCCACCTGTTCTCATCGTGAAACTGAAGACACTCATGAGGAAGAAGAAAGTGATTTTGAAGTGCAATTTGTGCCTTATTCACATGACTTACTGACTGCAATCTCTTTTGTTTCCCCAGCACCAATAGCTGCAGGAACAGGCCCTAATTTCTCCCTCTCAGATTTGGAAAGTTCTTCATACTACAGCATGAGCCCAGGAGCAATGAGGAGGTCTTTACCTAGCACATCCTCTACCAGGTAATTTAATCTCTGCCTACTACCAGGTTACTTGGAAACCCAAGCCAGCATCATTACTCATCTGGGAAAGTAACCATTAAATTCTTTGACAAGCTGTTTGGGGGCCTCAAGATGTGGAGCTGTTTCAGATTCACGGAGCTGAATGTTCAACTAGATTGCTGTTAAAGTTCTTTTTATATGTACAAGCTTTGAAGAAAAACTGCTGCATTGACTTGTATAGCTTCTGGCTTGTATCTCGGCGTATCAGGAGTTGTTCCACTGGCATTGTTGGAGTTTGACTTGTGGCAGAAGAGAATTTGGAGCATATTGAAATGTGCCACTTTGTCCTAGCAGGAAAGTCTTAAGATACTTACATGCATTCGTTATTGTAAAAAGTGTTATCTGTGAGGCCAACATTGTTTTAGGACCTTGGCCTATAATGCACTCTAGTTTTCATACAGCATTTAGAAATTTGTGACTCAGCCTTTGGAAAACGGAATTGTTAATGCAGCTGACTAGCCAGGCTGATTTTGATTTTGGCTTAGATGCCAACTACCAAAAGAGGATATTTTTTATTTTTTACCTTTCACTTTAACCATCCATGAGATTAGATTTATAAACAAGCCCAGTCACTCTAGTAGTCTTGAACACTGTTAGGGAACCAGATCAATTTTTTTTCCCTCCACAGCCAAAATAGATCACTTATTTCAAAGACATGACAGGAAAGTCTAACTTCAGCCCAGGGTTCTTTTACTTTCTATCTGAGTCTGCAGTGCCACTAGCTTTGCAGTAGGCAAGTACACATGGAAAAAGTCTCTATAGTTTGAATATAGCTTCTGGTTTTATTTAAAAAAAAATCTTTAAAGAGAGGCTCTTAGCAATAACTTCTTACAGTTTGCAGTGATTGGAAGAACATTTTACATCTTGCACTTAGTGTGCACATTATGAAGTTCGGTGACTACAATTCCCATTACACATCAATTAAAAACCTTGCACTCTTTCTTTTTTGCGTGTTAGCTGCGTACCCTACAGTGCTCATCATTAGCACCATGCTCAGGTAGAATTTACTTGTGACTCCAGAAGCAAGAAAGTGAGGTTATTAATGTTACTTAAGAGCTCAGTTGTTGCTCTTCTATTCTTCTGCAAATAGCTACCACTGATAAAGAGCTAATTATAAACAGCATGGGTAGTTAATAACTTGGTAATATGTTTGTTTTCCTCTCATTAGGCTGTTCCCAGTCAGAAAAAAAAAATATTCCTTAAATACACAGACTCAGCAGAATTATCAGGTGGTAATTATATTGTATGCACACAATTTCCCCTATTGACACATAACAATTCTCTAAATTAAGGAATGGCCAAACCTGCATTCCATGCATACCGCAAGACTTATTCTTCCTGTTTCTCACAACGGATTTTGCATACCCGCCAGCTCCTACCTGTGCAGAGCTTCGGGTGGGGAGCTGCAGAGAGGCTGCAAGTTTTAAACCAACAGAAATTGCAGTGGAATATTTTATGTCTGTTAAATATGTTCCCCCTACACAGAGGAGCCTGTTCTTGAACGCCTTAAGTCTTAATAGAATACAGATTTGATGAAAAAAGCGAGCTGACCCAGCCTTGGAAAAGTACTTAGAAGATAAATTCTCGGTAACGTCCCCACGCAGTCTGTACAACTCATTATAGAAAACAGAGCCAAGCTGAGTGTCTTTGGCTTTGGGATCCTCTCCCTGCAGAACTATCGGAGTCTGAGTCACTGGCCACCAGAGACGGCTGAAAGGGCTCTTCTGTCTCCTGAGCCTTTGGTGAGGGAGGTGTGCTGTATCACAAGGGAATCCTGTAGTACTGACACTGGCCAGAGATTCCCGTTGGGGGCTTTTTATGCTTGGTGGCATACAGTTGCAGAGTGAAATGCTTATACTTGTAGGATAACGTGAACATTTGAACCAAGAATGGATTCTTCCATCGATCACTTGTCTATGCTTCTTCGTATAGGACTGAAGTCTGGGTTAATGTAATGGCTGTGGTTAAGAGATTGAGAATATAAGTTTGGACTGATAAAGAATTTGTCTTTCAGAATAAGCTGTGGAAAAATCTGACAGTTTGTGTGTCATTACCACATTCATTCAAATTGCAAAAATCACACAATACAAATTCAATTCTTGCCTTTTTATTGATCTCTGTGTGCTTTGAAAAATGTCCTACTTTTTGATCTGTAAAAGCCTAAACATTAAACCATCTTCTAGTTAAACTAAAGCATGTTTAGGGTTTCAGTCTGGACTCTGTGAGAGGTCGTTTTGTATCTCACTGAACCTTAGTCATTGGCAATGAAGCAAATCAGAAACAAAAAGTGGATGCTGAGAGGCTGGGCAGGCAGGATGGCTGTGCAGGACTTGTACCTTCCCCTTCTCATGGCCCTAAATCTGTTATAGTTTCCATAACCAAGTTAGTCCCAAGCAGGGCTAGCAAGATACGTCCCAACAGAAGTGCCTGTGTTCCTTTCCATGCATATAGTATTTATTATGTGTTTTTACTTTCTCAGCTCTACAAAACGTCTCAAGTCTGTGGAGGATGAGATGGACAGTCCTGGTGAGGAGCCGTTTTATACAAGCCAAGGGCGCTCTCCAGGAAGTGGCAGCCAGTCAAGTGGATGGCATGAAGTGGAGCCAGGTAAGCCATGGCTTTCAGGAGCCCGAGAACATGATCTCCACTTGCTCTGTGTTGTTATCAGGATACACTGAATGCTGTATAGAAAGGTGATCCATGCTAAACATCTTGTAACTTCTTCTGAGAGAAGGTCAGTCTAATGAAAATATCGTAGTGGTTTTATTGCTCCTGCAGCTGTGAATGTTTCTGTAGTGTGTCACTTCTGTATTTTGGCCAAATATCTGAAGTATTTAAATAATGCGGCAAAAGATAGGCACTCTTTTTTGATCAAAATGTCCAGATTCAATTCTGGAATAGCAGCAACAATTGCGTAGCAAAAAGCAGTACCTGTCTGGGCTGTGCCCTACAGTTACACTGTTTAAATAAATATCCCTAAACATATATAAGGTAGAAGGACTTTTCAAGCATTATACAACACTTAAGCTCACTTAGTAATCACTTTTAAGAGACTTACAGAAGGAGTTGTTTTATTAATCTGTAATACTATGAAGTGTGATTGGAGGCTTCCTATCAAAATAGACACCACTGGGCGTTACCCCTCATAAGGTTTAGGAAGCAGCTTTTCTGCCTTTTCTCAGTCAATTTTTGTGTGTGATCTTTCTTGTTGATCATCTTTTGGGTTATGTTATGTTACATACTTAACTGTCCATTGATCACTTATCCTGAGATCATCTGGGTGCTTAATACTATTGGAAATATTTTTCTGTGTCAGTGCTACGTGCATAGGTGAAGTTAATGCCTCAATTTTGCTTACAGCTAAGTAATCAAGTGTTTACTGCTAATAAAAATAAGAGAAGTCTGATTTGTTAGAGGAAGGCAAGCAGTGCTTTCATCTTCAGCCTCCCAATGTTTGAGAAGGCCCTCTAAACAGCCCAAAGGATCTTTTGCAATATGTATTTTTTTTTTTATTTCTCATTTGTTTGGATTTAAAATAGTATGGTTTTGGTTTGTTTTGAAACAAGATATGCTTGTCCAGGGCACTGTGTATAATGAACTATACAGCACAGAAAAGTAAATTCAACCTGAACAGCATTAAAATCAGTTCTGTGGGCACTTGGCCAGCCACCTATATCCTTCATCATGTAGGAAACATACCCACAGCTTTCTCTGGAGACCCTGTCAAACAGCTGTCCTTTACAGCATGCCCAGAAAGTCACCAAATTTGGGCTATTCCAGACTGGGAGGGGACTGATTCCCGTGCCTGGGAGCCCTTGGAGGATCCCCTGCCAGCTGCCCTCTCTCCTCTAATGAGGAGGAGCCAGCTTGTGGGCCCTTATTGACTGCAGATGTGGCACTTTGGCAGGAGGAGAGGGTGGACCTGCCGACAGACAAGTGCCAGGCTCCCCGTGACTGCCTTGCCGCCGCTGTCCCCAGGGCTCTGGTGTTTTCAGTGAGGTGTCCTGCTCAGTAGACACTAGGGACTGTTTCCTCCATCAGCTCCAGATGATGTAAGGCAGAGCTTCACCTTGTACTAAACTAGTCTGCTCATGGAGTGGCAAAAACACGAACAAAAGCTCAGCGCCCATTGAAAGGGAGAGAACACAACCTCCTCTGCAGACACAGATGGCTAAAAGCTGACTGGGTCACTGCTTCTACATCATTGTCAGACTGGGGGCTAACTCCCCCCAAAGTTTGGGGTACTCTTTGTTAATGACAAATGTTCTCCATTTGTGCAACAGCCAGAGGTTGGCTATTAATTTTGCTGTCATTTCTGGTGGTTTTCCCCACATGTGATCATTACCTCTGTCTCATCCAAGTCCTGACTAGATGGTGGCACTGAGCTGCTGAGCTGGACAAGAGAAGCACCTAAAGACTTACGCCTCCAAAGCACCTCTGCCTCTCTTGGCACCACCGAGTGCCCATCATGAAGAAGCACAACTGCCCATGTCAAACTTCCTGAGGTGCTCAGAAAGGCCAGAACAAGTCAGAGAAAAGAAGGTTCTTCCTTCCTCATGACCTTCCTCGCTTAGTACAGAAAAATCCCAGATTCTGCTTAGTCTTGCCTGTAAAATGGCAGAAAATCACCTTGCAACATCAGGGACTCAAGCCAGGTACCAACTAGATATAGCTCAGATTCACCAAGCTATCTATCACTGTCACAGCTACGAAGAAAAAGAGCTTTATCCTGCCTGCATGGGATGCACTTTCAAACCATCTTTATGCTATATCCATGCAGCCCCACCCCAATACTTCTGCTGTGGCTTTCCAGCAGCCTGTCCTGAATTCATTGCCTCAGCTTCTCTGTAAAACAGGGTCACTGCAAGAGCACGGCTGGCAGAGAGATTACCTAAAGAGCCACAACTCATCAATGGTGAAGGACAAAACAGTACTGAAATGTCCTTTCATGCCAGGGCAACAGTGCTATGTCACTGGCACAAGGTGCTAAAGCCCGAGGGACAGATCCTGCTGTGAGCTGTGCATAGTGCCCTGCCTTACCTCAGAAATCACACGTGGGTCTGATGTGAACGTCTGGCCCTTTGTATTTGACATGGGTGCTTTATCTCCAGAAGAGTAAAATGTTGTATGAGTCTTCAGTGGGGCATCTGCCTAGAAAATATATTGGTCATCTGAAAGCCGTACAAATGATGTTAACATCCGGTATTACCCAGTGGCTTGCTGCAGCGTTCCTCTTTTGAGAGGGGAGCTTTGGAGCCTGGACCTGTTTCAGATCCATCCTTTCCGATGTCTCTCCTTTCCAGAAAAAGGCCTTGCCGTTTGTTTAATCTACAGTCAAAATGATGGCACAGTTTTAACATACAGTAATCTCTGAGCTTCAGTGTTGTGGTGTTTTCTCAGTGAAATTCACAGTAGAAGTTTAAAGACTAAAACCATCTTTTTGTTTGACTTGGCATTTCTTCCATGTGGTTCATTTTATGCTGCGTGGGATAATGCAGGTATCAATGGTGCAGAATGATGCTGGTTCAGAAGGCAGGCTGAAGTTTTATCCTGTGCTGGCAGAGTAACGTAAGCCAGGTTTCCAAACTCCATAATTAAACCCTGTCCTTTGGGTTACCGGCCAAACAACGGGAGGAGGAAATCAGACCAAGAAAAGGAAGCTTAGACTTGTCTGTGGGATGGTTGTTCTGGCTGGGAAGGAAAGTTCAGAGCAGAGCCAGCGGCCAACCTCCCAGCCCAGTAGGATCCACACCAAAGATAATAATATATCCTTTGGCTTTATTGCCTTTGAGTAGATTGCTTCCTCACAGGAGATTTAGATTTATGCGGAGATAGTTTCTTGGCCTATATGCCTTGACAGGTTTATGGGAGTGAGAGGATGAATATTCTGTCTGTGTGCGTTGCATTTGCTTAATTCTGAGGTGTGCACACGAGAAAAAGTGGGGACTAACGCAGGAGCAGCTGTGAAGCCCCCGTATGCTTATGCACATGTAGAGACAGAGCGAAGTCCTCGTAGCACAGAGACGATGAGAGGGTTGTAGCAAAATGCGTTACCTGGGACATTGCAGGGAAATTAGATCTGCATGAGAGGGAGACTGGAGAAATGTTGCACTTGAAAGTGAGCACAAGGTAGAAGAGAAAGGGAAAATGAGAAGACAATTTTACACCATACAGAAGGGAAAAAGTGTACAGGGGAAAGAAAAAAAAGAACAAATGCAAGGAAAACAAAGATTTGACTTCCTAGAAAGGAAATATGAAATGGAATATGTGAACTCCTCTTAGAGAAAGAGAGCACTCCAGGCAGAGGGTTATTTACCGCCAGCCGTGACTAGTCGCTCTACATCTGTCTCCATTTCTTTCTCTTGAACAAATTCCCTTTTTGGATACTTTCTTCCTGCTTTGCTTCCCTGTGATTGCCCCTGTAAGTGGTCTTTGGAGGGCAGGCTGTATACTCAGAACATATGTGCAAACTGGCAGGAGAACAGAAGAGGACAGAACCACTCTGTGTGCTATTTAGATTAGGCAGTGGATGCTTCCCCTGTGCCTACTCTTGGGGTCTCCGCTGCGTGCAGAATCCAAGCTGCACCTATTGTCCATCCACAGACCTTTCTCTGCGTTTTTACATCACGGGCCCCTGGGGCTCAGAGCACCCTGACATCTGTCTCATGTGGAGACTTTGCTGGGTGTAGATCCTACATGCTTCACCCACCAGCAACATGACCTTTCCATTCATGGCGTTTCAGACCCATAGTAATGAGCAGAGGACTCAGCCTTGTGTTTTTTACATCTAGATACTTCTTGCAAGCAAGGATGTAGCACTCTCCTTATATGTCAGACATGACAGCCAAAGCCAAGCCCAACATTAATTCCATGTTCCTTGTACTGTACTCCTTGAGTCTCACATCCATTTACCTGCACTCGAAAGCTCCTGGGGAGCTCTCAGGCCTAAAAAGGCTGGTGTCTGCCAGAAAAGATGAATTTCCTTTCACAACAGGAAGGCTTAGGAAGTAAAACAAAGCAGACATGTAGTAAATTACTTCTGCTTTTCAAATACCTTTTGCGGTATCCTCCTTACCATTACTTTATCTCAGCACTTTCAGTACATAACTCTTGTTAACTGAGAAGAAGGGCAAGAGAGGATAAAGATGATGTTAGTAAGAAAATAAGGCAACATCACACTGGCTTCAGACTCATGTACAAAGCTGGACCGTGTTCAGTTTAGTGGCAGCTCTGCTTGTAATGAGGGTAAGCCATAATTACAGGTATAAGTTTTTTAATTCCGTAATAAGAGAAGATTGAGTTAATGTATATCAGTATTCCACTTATGCATTTTTTTAATGCATTCTCTTGATTCAGTCCAGGAGTAATGTTCACATTGTGCTCTGTCAGTCATTTTGTAGTGTAGCATATGGATGGTATTTGCCAATTATACTTCCATTGTATTTATACAGCATGGCATGGAAAAAATATTTAAGATGCAAATTCAGAGTATCAGTTTCTTTACTTAGATCTTCCTGGTACTTGTATTTCCACAGGTTAGTTTGGTCCCTAGAGGACAGTAATCCCAGGAAAGGTACCTGTTTGTACTCCTTGCGCTTCTTGACGTA